TTATTTTGTTAACAATATGTAATATATTACAATATATATATACGTGATACAACAATATATAAAAGTGATAATATATCCTGACCAATTGGGATTTGTCCAAGGAATACAGGGTTGGTTTAACATTAGAAAGTTAATCAATGGAATTCAACTATTCTGAAACCAAAAAAGAAAAATCATGTGATCATTTCAATAGACATGGTAAAAACGATTTACAAAATCCAACATCCATCTCTGATTTTTAAAAAACCCCGCAAAGTAGGAATTCAAGGAAATTTCTTCAACCCAACACAGGACATTTATGAAACATCTGCAGTTAACATCATACTTTTTAAAAAATTAATTAATTAATTAAGTTTTATTTTTAGCTGCGTTGGGTCATCATTGCTGCGCATGGGCTTTTCTCTAGTTGCGGCGAGTGGGGGCTACTCTTCGTTGCTGTGTGCAGGCTTCTCATTGCGGTGGCTTCTCTTGTTGCGGAGCACGGGCTCTAGGCGTGCGGGCTTCAGTAGTTGTGGCACACGGGCTCTGGAGCACAGGCTCAGTAGTTGTGGCGCATGGGCTTAGCCGCTCCGCGGCATGTGGGATCTTCCTGGACCAGGGCTAGAACCCATGTCCTCTGCATTGGCAGGCGGATTCTTAATCACTGCGCCACCAGGGAAGTCCAGCATCATACTTAATAATGATACACTGGCTGCTTCCCCTGAGATCAGGAATGAGGCAGCTGTGTCTGCTCTTAGCCATCCTAGTCAGCATCTTGGTGGAGGTTCTAGCCAGGGCAGGGAAGGAAGAAAAAGAAAACGATCCATATTGGAAAGGAAGAAGTAAGATTGTCTGTGTTCACCATTGACATGATCATCTATGTAGAAATTCTAATGAAATTTTTGAAAGGGAGGGCACAATTAGAGCTAATGAGTGAGTTTAGCAAGGTTACCAATATGCAAAACCAAACGATATACTTCTGTACTAGTAACGAACAATTGGAAATTGTTTTATATTTTGCCCGTGTCCAAAATATGAAATACAGGTAAATTTGACTAAGTATGTACAAGATCTCCGCACTAAAAAAAAAAAACAACTACAAAACATTGCTGAGAGAAACTAGTAACTAATGGAGAGATATACCCTGTTCACAGATTTGAAGACTCAGAATTGTTACGATGTTAGTTTTCTCCATGTTGGTGGGTAGATTCAATGCAACTGCAAAGCAAAATCACAGCAGCCTATTCTGGAGAAACTGAGAAGCTGATTCTGAAATTCATATGGAAATGCAGAGGACCTAGAATAATTAAAACAACTTCAAAAGTGAAGAGCAAAGTTGGAGGGCCAACACCACCTGATTTCAGACCCAGGGCATTTGGGTCACCAAGATGAGGTGTCTGTCCCAGACTGGAGAAGGCTTTCTGGAGGAGGTGATGCCTTAGCTGGCACTGAAACGAGGAGGGCAGCCAGATGCACTGGAGGTGGTAGCCTTGCTGCTCTGGACCAGCCGGCAAGGATGGCAGATGAGTGAAAGGAGGTGCACAGGTTGAAGACATTGATTTGAGTTGCTCTCAGGTTATGGTAGGTACCTTTTACTTTTTCCAAAATTTCACTAACAGTGCTGTCTTAATTTTTTTTTTTTTAATGTTGAAGCCATACAAGAAGGTCACCTATTTTCTCTTAGACAATTAGAAAGACTTGTTTCATTTTTTAAAAATGGCAT